AAGTCGCCTTTCTCTTCAGTGTTTTAATCTCTGATTTGAGCAATTTGATTTCGGCAGTATATTTGGCTTCAAGCTCACGTTGTCTCTCAGAATGATACTTTCGTTCGGAAATAAGTTGGGATCCAACCTTAGTACTGGACGCAATTAACTGGCTAGTTTTATTTACAATATCGGCATAGGATCGTTGAAATTCCTCCTCTCGCTCTGAATACTCTGAATTTTCGGCCTGCAACTTTTCGTTGAAATCAGTAATTTCAGAGTTAAAATCGATAGCAATTTTTAATTTTTTTTCGAGCTCTTGCTCATATGTACTACCCAGCCGATGTCCTCTATCTTTTATATCCTTCAATGTATGTACATTGGACATAATCTTGGCATGGTTATATAGCAGGAAAAAAAAATATGTTGCATTTTTTTTGAGACCACGTAGTCCCGAAATTTCAGAAGCACTTTATTTTTTCTATATATCGATACATATTGGTGGGCATTGAAATATATCAATAATATATTGAAAATTATTAATACGTATTGAAAAATATTGAAAAATATTGATATGCACATATTGATACGCATTGATATTTATTGAATAGTATTAATATTTTTAGTATATATAATCCAGTAAAGATGGTAGCCCGTATCCATGATACATATTATGATGCTAAGGCAACCCTGTTATCAGAAGCCGACATCAAGGAAATTAGAGAATCCAGAGGTAGGATACCCAATGCAACACAAAAAATGGCTAGTAAATTTCATATCGGACCTAAGCGTGTTTATGAAATATGGGATAACAAAGAACGCCTTCAGCAAGGGGTGGTCCCAGAGGGAGTAGTTATTTCATCTTCCTCCGGTCAGCCTGTTTTGGACGAGAATTCCCAGACTGATAAGATAGAACAGACTGAGTCAAATATACATGGCCAAAATACATCCCCCTTTGCAGAACTGGAAAAAAATATACGTGATGCTAAGGTTGAGTCTAGCAAATCTACCGATTCAGCTTTAGAAAAAGGAGGCAGTAAGGCGAAAAAGACTGGAGGAAAGAAATCGAAGTCCAAGTCCACGTTAGTAGAGCTAACACCATCTAGTATTCAGACTCAGCCAATCCAGACTTCAAAGAAGGATATAAATAATGTAAATTTGGATGCATCATATGAGAAGATGGTCTAAAAAAGCACAAAAATCGTAGATGAAAAAAAGAAGCGTTATACTGAAAATAACTCGCCTATCCCCTAAGAAGACTTTCGCAAAACTCATTGATTTCCGCATTAAATTTGAGAGTAATGAAAAGCTTCTTCTCAAGCTCTTTCACGCGAATTGCCATATCCTCATAACTCACTTTTTTTTTAATGTGTCCTCCTCACTCAAGTCCTGCAAGTCATGTGAAATACAGTCCGGAGCTGGCAGATCATCACATTCGGGAGTAGTCCTCGCGTAATTCACCTCGAGCTTGTTCTTAACCTTATGCATAGTGACTGGGATAATATAATCTTTTCCATTAAAAGGAATCTTTAGCTCATTTGTATTCCAGTCCACTGCGCACCCATATTTCTTTAGGAGTTGGTTAGAAAATATTAGCGTTGGCTTATGATAGTCTACAACTATAAAATCTTCATGAATAGTGAGTCCAGGAGCTAAAGTAATTGGCAAATTGCGGGCGACACCAATAGATTCAATCGGGACAGTAGCTATACCGCTAAGGTCGTGTTTTTCAGATTCATCTATTTTAGCCTTAACACGAACAACAATATTCTTTGTTATAATTGGAGGCTCTGCTCTGGAGTCAAGAGTCATGGCTGGAATCTTTAAGCGTTTGATTTTGCACTTCACAGTAGCAACACTCGTTTTCGGCTCCTTCTTCTTGACGAAATCGATCTCCATAGGACCATCTAAAAACTCCTCCTCTTGACTAGACTCATCCGAAAATAAATCGTTGGAAGATGCCGATGTGTCATTTTGGCCGGAGACGCGCTCCATAGGAGCCACTATCTGTTCGGACATAACGGGACTAGAGTCTTTGGAGAAACGTTCAGGAAAAAATAATTTAAGCTCACTTAGGAGGACTTTACGAATAGTTTCATCTAGCGGAATTTCTCTCGACATAGTGCTAGACTTCTTCTTCACTTTTTTTTTGACTTAGATATATGAACATCAAGAATACCATCAGAATCAGAAGAATCAGAAGAACTTGTATCAGAATCGGAACTATCGCTAGAAGAAGTACTGTCTGAAGAGGAATCTGAATCTGGTTCTATAGCGAGATTGACCTTACCTTTCTTCGACTTCTTGCTTTTCTTTTTCTTCTTTACAGAGCACTTACGAGAAGTGTGTCCAAATCTACCACACTTGGTACATTTTTTCTTAACGGCACTTTTAACGGCGGATTTGATAGCATTTATTGTGGCACTATTTAGTGTCATGCCGGCCATACTGTCAGTAATATCATCCACAGGGTCATAATTATAATCATCTTCAGGTTGCTTATTTGATTTTGTCCTTAGAAGTTCACTTAAAAATCGTCTAATAATAAGGTCTTCCCCTCTCTTATTGGCCGATTTTTTACTATTATCTAGAGTCTTAGTTCCTCGAGACAAAGTCTCTTGAAAGGATTTAGCTATAGCTTCTTGTAAATCAGCCTTAGTGATATTTTCCTGGCCAGAAGAAGACACCGGTGATAGATTTGGCGCCGATTGTTGTAACGCCTGAATCCTACTATTTACAATCCTATCAATATCTTCTGTAGTAATATTTTGATGGGAAGGCGCTTTTGATTTTGTCTTAGTGGCCGGCTGGTTATAAATATCTTCGCCCAAAAGTAAATCATTCCTTGCTGTTTCAATCTCTTCCAGTGTCTCAATCAAATCATCGTTCAAAGGTCTGTTTAAACCCAGTTGTTTCATTTCTAACTTGTTTTCAGGAGACAAACCACGTAAAAATTGTATTCTTTTTTCACGATCGGATATTCGAGCCCAGCCAGCATATTTATCTATCTTTCTATAGAAATTTCTAACTGAATCAGATCCTTGAGTCAAAGTACCAAAGATCAATTCCTGTTGCTCTCGAACAACTGTAGGATAATTCCTTTTAAACCAATAGATGACCTGACTAATATTGATATCAGGAAGGACTATATGATTGTT